GCCAGACACTGCCAGACAGTGCCAGGCACCACCAGAAACTGTCAGACACTGTCAGACACTGCCAGACACTGCCAGACACCACCAGATATTGCCAGACAGTGCCAGACAACACCAGACACTGCCAGACACTGCCAGACAACACCAGACACCACCAGACAACACCAGACACTGCCAGACGTTGACGGATACTGCCAGACAGTGCCTGACACTGCCAGACAGTGCCAGACACCACCAGACACTGCCTGACACTGTCAGACATGCCAAACAGTGCCAGACACTGCCAAACAGTGCCAAATGCTGCCACTCTACCAGTGCCAGACAGTGCCATTCAGTGCCAGATACTGCCAGACATTGCCAGATGCTGCCAGACTCTACCAATGCCAGACAGTGCCATACAGTGCCAGACACTGCTTGACACTCACAGAAACTGCTAGACAGTACCAGACAGTGCCGCAGTGCCAGACAGTGCCAGACAATGCCAGACACCACCAGACCCTGTCAGACACTGACAGACACTGCCAGACACTGCGTGACACAGCGAGACAGTGTCAGACGCCACCAGATACTGCCGGACACTGCCAGACAGTGCCAGACACCACCAGATACTGCCAGACACTGCCAGACAGCGCCAGACACCACCAGACACTGTCAAACACTGCCAGACAGTGCCAGACACCACCAGATACTGCAAGACAGTGCCCGACAACACCAGACACTGCCAGAGACTGCCAGACAGTGCCAGACAACACCAGAAACTGCCTGACTCTGGCAGACAGTGCCAAACAGTGCCAGACACCACCAGACACTGCCAGACAACACCAGACACTTCCAGACAATGACAGATACTGCCAGACAGTGCCTGACACTGTCAGACAGTGCCAGACACCACCAGACACAACCAAACAGTGCCAGACACTGCCAAACAGTGCCAAATGCTGCCAGACTCTACCAGTGCCAGACAGTGCCATTCAGTGCCAGATACTGTCAGACAGTGCCGTTTAGTGCCAGATACTGCCAGACAGTTCCAGATGCTTCCAGACTCTACCAACGCTAGACAGTGCCATACAGTGCTAGACACTGCTAGACACACACAGAAACTGCTAGACAGTACCAGACAGTGCCACAGTACCAGGCAGTGCCAGACAGTGCCACAGTACCAGACAGTGCCAGATAATGCCAGACACTACCAGACACTGCCAGATACTGACAGACACTGATAGACATTGCCAGACACTGCCAGATACTGCCAGACAGTGCCAGACAGTGCCAGACAGTGCCAGACAGTACCAGACAGTGCCAGATTATGCCAGACACTGCCAGATAATGACAGACATTGCTAGACAATACCAGTCACTGTCTGACAGTGCCAAACACTGCCAGACACTGTCAGACAATGCCAGACACTGCCAGATACTGCCAGACATTGCCAGAGTGTCAGACAGTGTCAGACACTGCTAGACACTGCCAGACAGTGCCAGACAATGCCACACACTGCCAGATACTGCCAGACACTTCCAGAGTGTCAGACAGTGCCAGACTCTGCTAGACACTGCCAGACAGTGCTAGACACTGCCAGACACTGTCAGATACTGCTAGACAGCTCTGTTCTCTAATTTGTGGGATGGAAGGGGGGAGGGGGTATACCTGGTGCCAGAATGTAAACACAACACCACTGTTGATGGGCGAAACGTTGACATTAATCATTCAGCTGGACTATAACATGGCCGCCAGGTGTGGCCCGCACCTCTGGGGTCACTACCGGCGGGTTACGGGTTCGATACCTAGGCGAGGAGAGGCGCAGGTGAAGCCTCCCGGCACCTGCTGCCCTTCTTCACCTAACAGTAAGTAGGTACCTCGTGTCGTATACATTACCTGGAGTTTACCTGGAGAGAGTTCCGGGGGTCAACGCCCCCGCGGTCCGGTCTATGACCAGGCTTCCTGGTGGATCAGAGCCTGATCAACCAGGCTGTTGCTGCTGGCTGCACGCAAACCAACGTACGAGCCACAGCCCGGCTGATCAGGAACCAACTTTAGGTGCTTGTCCAGTGCCAGCTTGAAGACTGCCAGGGGTCTGTTGGTAATCCCCCTTATGTATGCTGGGAGGCAGTTGAACAGTCTCGGGCCCCTGACACTTATTGTATGGTCTCTTAACGTGCTAGTGACACCCCTGCTTTTCATTGGGGGGATGTTGCATCGTCTGCCAAGTCTTTTGCTTTCGTAGTGAGTGATTTTCGTGTGCAAGTTCGGTACTAGTCCCTCTAGGATTTTCCAGGTGTATATAATCATGTATCTCTCCCGCCTGCGTTCCAGGGAATACAGGTTCAGGAACCTCAAGCGCTCCCAGTAATTGAGGTGTTTTATCTCCGTTATGCGCGCAGTGAAGGTTCTCTGTACATTTTCTAGGTCAGCAATTTCACCTGCCTTGAAAGGTGCTGTTAGTGTGCAGCAATATTCCAGCCTAGATAGAACAAGTGACCTGAAGAGTGTCATCATGGGCTTGGCCTCCCTAGTTTTGAAGGTTCTCATTATCCATCCTGTCATTTTTCTAGCAGATGCGATTGATACAATGTTATGGTCCTTGAAGGTGAGATCCTCCGACATGATCACTCCCAGGTCTTTGACGTTGGTGTTTCGCTCTATTTTGTGGCCAGAATTTGTTTTGTACATTAAATAGTAATAATAAATAACAACAACAACAACAACAACAACAACAACAACAACAACAACAACAATAATAATAATAATAAAAATTTAATAATAATAATAATAATAATAATAATAATATATAATAATAATAATAATAATATTAATAATAATAATAATATTTACAACAATAGGTACATTAACTATCGCGGAACTATTAACAACTATTAACCATCACATTAACGCAGGAGCGCTAAAATCACAGGGAAGGAGGAAGGGGGGTCACATGCACATGACGCACCAGGAAGAGCTCTAAACCCGTAGGAGGGAGAGGATCTGGAGGGGGGTTTGAACAGATACTCGAGAGAGATAGTGAAACCTGGCGGGCAGATCCCGTAGAGTGAAGCACCAGCCAGCCAGGCAGCCAGCCAGCCAGCCAGGCAGCCAGCCAGCCAGCCAGCCAGCCAGCCAGCCAGCCAGCCAGCCAGCCAGGCAGCCAGCCAGCCAGGCAGCCAGCCAGCCAGCCAGGCAGCCAGCCAGGCAGCCAGGCAGCCAGCCAGGCAGCCAGCCAGGCAGCCAGCCAGCCAGCCAGGCAGCCAGCCAGCCAGGCAGCCAGCCAGGCAGCCAGCCAGCCAGCCAGCCAGCCAGGCAGCCAGCCAGCCAGGCAGCCAGCCAGCCAGGCAGCCAGCCAGTCAGCCAGTCAGCCAGGCAGCCAGCCAGCCAGCCAGCCAGGCAGCCAGCCAGGCAGCCAGCCAGGCAGCCAGCCAGCCAGCCAGCCAGCCAGCCAGCCAGCCAGCCAGCCAGCCAGCCAGCCAGCCAGGCAGCCAGCCAGCCAGGCAGCCAGCCAGCCAGGCAGCCAGCCAGCCAGGCAGGCCGGGCCAGCCAGCCAGTCAGCCAGGCAGCCAGCCAGCCAGCCAGCCAGCCAGCCAGCCACCCAGCCAGCCAGCCAGGCAGCCAGCCAGCCAGGCAGCCAGCCAGCCAGGACAGCCAGCCAGCCAGGCAGCCAGCCAGCCAGCCAGCCAGCCAGGCAGCCAGCCAGGCAGCCAGTCAGGCAGCCAGCCAGGCAGCCAGCCAGGCAGCCAGCCAGGCAGCCAGCCAGGCAGCCAGCCAGGCAGCCAGCCAGGCAGCAGCCAGCAGGCAGCAGCCAGGCAGCCAGCCAGCCAGGCAGCCAGCCAGCCAGGCAGCCAGCCAGGCAGCCAGCCAGGCAGCCAGGCAGCCAGGCAGCCAGCCAGGCAGCCAGCCAGGCAGCCAGCCAGGCAGCCAGCCAGGCAGCCAGCCAGCCAGCCAACCAGCCACCCAGCCAGCCAGCCAGCCAGCCACCCACCCAGCCAGCCAGCCAGGCAGCCAGCCAGGCAGCCAGCCAGCCAGCCAACCAGCAACCCAGCCAGCCAGCCAGCCAGCCACCCACCCAGCCAGCCAGCCAGCCAGCCACAGCCAGCCACAGCCAGCCAGCAAGCCACAGCCAGCTAGCCAGCCAGCCAGCCAGCAAGCCACAGCCAGCCACAGCCAGCCAGCCAGCCAGCCAGGCAGCCAGGCAGCCAGCCAGGCAGCCAGGCAGCCAGCCAGCCAGCCAGCCAGCCAGCCACAGCCAGCCACAGCCAGCCACAGCCAGCCACAGCCAGCCACAGCCAGCCACAGCCAGCCACAGCCAGCCACAGCCAGCCACAGCCAGCCACAGCCAGCAAGCCACAGCCAGCCACAGCCAGCCACAGCCAGCCACAGCCAGCCAGCAAGCCACAGCCAGCCACAGCCAGCCACAGCCAGCCACAGCCAGCCAGCAAGCCACACCCCCACCCACAGCCAGCCACAGCCAGCCACAGCCAGCCACAGCCAGCCACAGCCAGCCACAGCCAGCCACAGCCAGCCACAGCCAGCCACAGCCAGCCACAGCCAGCCACAGCCAGCCACAGCCAGCCAGCAAGCCACAGCCAGCCAGCAAGCCACAGCCAGCCACAGCCAGCCACAGCCAGCCACAGCCAGCCAGCAAGCCACAGCCAGCCACAGCCAGCCACAGCCAGCCACAGCCAGCCACAGCCAGCCACAGCCAGCCACAGCCAGCCACAGCCAGCCAGGAGAAGATTAAGACATATGCACAATAGTTGGATACCTTTATTGTTAAAATATTTCGCCTACACAGTAGACTTCTTCAGTCTCATACAGAGGCAGCCGCAGCAGCAGCAGCAGCAGCAGCAGCAGCAGCAGCAGCAGCAGGTGTAGTAGCGTGATGAAGCTAATATGATCCGTCCATCAACCAAGTCAGACCGAAACTTGCAAATGACTACTGCAACTTAGATGACTGATAAATTATCTAACTAGTGGGCGAGGGAAGGAAGAAAATGGTGTAAATATTGACTTACCTGCCATGATGGGTCAGCAGTCTTGTAGAAAGCAAAGTTTTCCTTGATCCACTTGTAGATGGCTGAGAGAGTCATCTTATTCTGGTTCTCCTTCATGGCCATACCTATCAGAGCAGCGTAACTGTACGGAGGCTTGACGCTACCGTCTTGTGAGTAGTCTATTCTATCTAACTTCTCCTGAGCCTCCGTCTTCCGTTTCCTGTCAGTTGTGTGTGTGTGTGATGCTTGTGTTGAGGCTAGAGGGTTGTTTGGCTGTGGTGAGGCTGGGGGCGTGGGTGGTGTTGCAAGGTGTGGCACCATGCCGCCCATATCTAGGGAGTGTAGCCATGTGAGTGATGTTAAGTCATCACCGCCGCCCATGTTGGCGTCGCTGTTGAGGGCGTTGTAACCCCCGACGCCCACAGAAGACACTACACATCCAGTATTCCCGAGGCCAGCACCTTCAGGTTGATGGTTGTCAGTGGTGGCAGGTGTGTGGTGTGTTGCACTGCCACCGATGGTGTAATGATTTTGGACTGGCTTGTTTCTTCCCACCATACCCATGGTGGCATTACCACCCGCCTCTGTCCTCTGTGCCATGGCACCAGAAACAAGAGCCTTGTTGTGCATAGTGTTAGTGTTTCTGGTAGTGAGGTACGGGAGAGGTGTGATGGCAGGTTCCTGCATCTTGAAGGAAGACTCCCGTCCTCTCAGCAACACTTGCACGCTCTCTCTACCTCCAGTCTCATACATCGAACCCACTCGTCTTTACCTTTGCCACAGGTACTTAAGGAAAGACATGGGGTAACTGTGGTCGCTCTACAGCCCCTCGTTCCCAGGCATCTCTGATCATCTGTCGACGATAAAGAAGCATAAGTCACGGGCTTCAGGAGCTGCTACAGAGAGACGCTCTCCTTAATAAAAGACAAACTAAATTTACTGTAGTATTTCATGCAATGGAGTTTCGAAGCCTCAAAGAATGCAATACTCACGCATCCACTCTTCTTTCATAGTAATAGTCTGGTTAATCTACCAATGTAGTTGCTTCACCTTTGTCTTCCTAGCGACTTTCTGCTTCATCTCATCAGTGGTATTAATCGCACCAGTTCCTCGTCATTACCCTCCGAAACACACCCATCCATTCATCCATTGAATGCAGTAACTCGGTAGATACTGAGAATCCCTTTATTCATCACAATAGTCAACCACCAACATTAATTATACACTGCCATATGCATGTCCTCTCCTGATGTCACGTCCCCTCGGGTCTGTCCTATCTCCTTCCTATTTTTCTTGTTGGGATTTATAAGGCAACTGAAGACATGAGCTGTATAGATACCTACTCGTTCCGTCTTCTCGCCTCTCTCAACGGCTGTATCTCTCACCGGTTCTTCCTTCAGCAAGTTCTATGTTTTCCTTGGTTCAGGCCCTTCCTGGTTAAATATCTTTCTGATTAATCCTCTGCCTGGTTGATTCCACCATTGGTTCTTCACTGCTGGTTCTTCACTGCTGGTTCTTCACTGCTGGTTCTTCACTGCGAGTTATTCACACATTTATGTTTCGTGTTCCGGCTCATTGAGTCTGATTCTGAAATTTTGCTTCGGGGGACTAATTTGTCTCTTGCTCGTTCTGTTTCCTACTGAGGTTGTTTTCTTCTAGATTAGTTTCTTGCTGAGTTTGCGTCTTGGTGGGTTCGTTTCTCGTGGGGTTCGTTTCTTGGTGGGTTCGTTTCTCGTGGGGTTCGTTTCTTGGTGGGTTTGTTTCTCGTGGGGTTCGTTTCTTGGTGGGTTCGTTCCTACCTGCGTTAGTTTGCTGGACCAGTATCCTGCTAGGTTCGTTTATCGCTAGCTTCAGTTCTGGAGCTGGAAGAGCAGCCACCTCCACCTGGTAAGTTCTGGATATTTTGGATGACCTTAGTTTATCAGTGTTACAAAACAGCTGAGAGATGCTCACAGTGTTTAGATTGTCTGTGTATGGACAAAATATACCTATATCGGATTTAATCTCATTACACATAAACTGTATGATCCATAATGATTAAATCCTCACCAGGGAATACAATAATAATAATAATGGATTCAGTTTTTGGGTTTGTCTCGTATTATGTATGTATCCTACTGTGTTTTATCCTGCTGCCTCCACTGACGTCCGCAGTTGGGTGTCATTCTTGGGCCGGGGATCTCAGGTCTGCCAACGCTTCCGTCTGTGGAAAGAAAAGAATAAAGTTATTTATTTAATTAATTATTTTTTTCAACACTGGTACGCACTCTGCATCCGAAATTTATGAAATAGATTAAAATTTGATAGGTAAGAACATGGTAAAGCACTGCCGCAGCAGGCCTACTGGCCTGTACTAGACAGGTACTTCTCAAAACTTACCTGTCTCACTCATAAATTTGTGCAACCCATTTACGAAGATTTGCTAGAAGTTAGCTTCGGTCACTTGGCAGACTCATCCACAACTAGTAAGAAAGAGATTCCAACCATACAATAGAGCGAAAAACTAATGTGAAGGACCTGGGAGTGATAATGTCAGAGAATCTCATTTTCAAAGACCACAACAATGTATCTACCACATCTGCTAGAAAAATGATGGGCTAGATAATGAGAACCTTCACAACTAGGGATGCCAAGCCACTGATGATTCTCTTCAAATCGCTTGTTCTCTCTAGGCAGAAGTATTGCTGTACACTATCGGCCCCTTCCAAGGCAGGAGAAATTGCAGACCTGGAGAATATACAGAGAACTTTCACTGCATGTATAAGTACGATAAAGCACCTAAATTACTGGGAACGGTTGAAGTCCCTTGACCTCTACTCTCTGGAACGCAGGCGAGAAAGATACATGATAATGTGCACTTGGAAAATCCTAAAGGAACTAGTCCCAAATCCGCACACGGATATCACTCCCTATGAAAGCAAAAGACTCGGCAGGTGGTACAGCATTCCCCCACTGGAAAGAAGAGGCGCCATGAGTACGCTAAGAGACAGCACAATAAGTGTAAGGGGTCCAAGACTGTTCAAATGCGTCCCAACATTCATAATTCAAGAGGGAGCTGGACAGGCACATATACTCAGTACCTGACCAGCTGGGCTGTGGTTCGTACGTTGGTTTGCATGCGACCAACTGTAACAGCCTAGTTGATCAGGTCCTGATCCACCACGAGGCCTGGTCATGGACTGGTCAGCGGGGGCGTTGACCCCCAGAACACCCTCCAGGTATACTCCAGGTATACTCCAGGTATACTCCAGGTATACTCCAGGTATACTCCAGGTATGCTCCAGGTATACTCCAGGTATACTCCAGGTATAATCCAGGTATGCTCCAGGTATACTCCAGGTATACTCCAGGTATACTCCAGGTATACTCCAGGTATACTCCAGGTATACTCCAGGTATGCTCCAGGTATACTCCAGGTATACTCCAGGTATACTCCAGGTATACTCCAGGTATACTCCAGGTATACTCCAGGTATACTCCAGGTATGCTCCAGGTATACTCCAGGTATACTCCAGGTATACTCCAGGTATACTCCAGGTATACTCCAGGTATACTCCAGGTATACTCCAGGTATACTCCAGGTATACTCTAGGTATAATCCAGGTATGCTCCAGGTATACTCCAGGTATACTCCAGGTATACTCCAGGTATACTCCAGGTATACTCCAGGTATACTCCAGGTATGCTCCAGGTATACTCCAGGTATACTCCAGGTATACTCCAGGTATACTCCAGGTATACTCCAGGTATGCTCCAGGTATACTCCAGGTATAATCCAGGTATACTCCAGGTATACTCCAGGTATACTCCAGGTATACTCCAGGTATACTCCAGGTATACTCCAGGTATACTCCAGGTATGCTCCAGGTATACTCCAGGTATACTCCAGGTATACTCCAGGTATACTCCAGGTATACTCCAGGTATACTCCAGGTATGCTCCAGGTATACTCCAGGTATACTCCAGGTATACTCCAGGTATACTCCAGGTATACTCCAGGTATACTCCAGGTATACTCCAGGTATGCTCCAGGTATACTCCAGGTATACTCCAGGTATACTCAGGTATACTCCAGGTATACTCCAGGTATACTCCAGGTATACTCCAGGTATTCTCCAGGTATACTCCAGGTATACTCCAGGTATACTCCAGGTATACTCCAGGTATACTCCAGGTATGCTCCAGGTATACTCCAGGTATACTCCAGGTATACTCCAGGTATACTCCAGGTATACTCCAGGTATGCTCCAGGTATACTCCAGGTATACTCCAGGTATACTCCAGGTATACTCCAGGTATACTCCAGGTATACTCCATGTATACTCAGAACCCAGTTATATTGCCTTTATCTATTCGTGTCTTGTACTGGTACACCTCAGTAATGTGTGGACTCATTGTGTGTGTTTTAAGAGAGTCAACCTTCAAGACTCAGTATATCATCTTGTGAGAGACTTATTGTCCAGTGTATTAATTTTGTCATCTTTCTCTGTACGTTTCCAAGTGAATTTATATCAATGCTGTAGTAGGGGACCATAACTGACCTGTATAATCTAAGTGAGGCCTTACCTGGTGGGTATTCCGGGGGTCAATGCCCCTGTGTCCCGGTCCATGACCAGGCCTCCTGGTGGATCAAGGCCTGATCAACCAGGCTGTTACTGTTGGCCGCACGTAGTCCAACGTACGAACCACAGTCCGGCTGATCGGGTACTGACTTTACGTATCTGTGCAGCTCTCTCTTGAAGTCAGCGAGGGGTCTACTGGTAATCCCCCTTAAGGCTGGTGGAAGGCTGTTGAACAGTCTTGGGCCCCGGACACTTACTGTGCTGTCTCTTGGTGTACTGTTCTCTTGGCTTCAGGATTCTGTTTACCAGGACTCCAAAGTCTCTTTCACCTCTGTATCATTAACCTCTATATTACTATTAATTTTCAAGTCTTTCTAGATATTTTGTCCGGGTAGATTTTATCTATTATTTTACAATTTACATTCTTTCTATGGGGTAGTTAAAATTTCATCTGTTTAT